AAATACGCTTTTACGACAACGCCCCCTCCCCGAAGAGAGGCATCCAGGGTTCCCCAAAAAGGTCGGCGGTGCCGCGTAAGCCAATGAATCTGAAGGATGCTGCGGGTGAAGGCCGAGCTGGAGGGCGAACAGCAACAGAGCCTGAGTGTTGCAGTACGGGGTGCTGTGCAACGCCCCCCCTGCCATCGCTTGAGTGGGGGTGGCGTGTGCTGACGGGGCCGTCGGTAACTACCCTCCGACCTCCTCCTCCCCCTGCTCCTCCAACTGCTCCTCCCCCGGCCCTTCTTCCTCTTCCTCCTCTTCCTCCTCATTCCTCCCTCTTCCTCCTCCCTCCTTCCTGCATTCGCTCCCTCCCTCCCTCCCTCCTTCCTTCCTTCCATCCGTCCTTCATTCCAACCTCCCTTCCTTCATTCCTTCCGACCTTCCTTCCCTTCGTTCCGTCCCTCCTTCCTTCCCTCCCTCCCTCCTGCCTCCCTTCCTTCCGTCCTTCCTTCCTTCCCTTCCTTCCAACCGTCCTGCCTTCCTTCCTTCCTTCCGTCCTTCCCTGGTTTCCTTCTTTCCTTCGTTCCGTCCTTCCGTCCTTCCTTCCATCCTTCCTTCCATCCTTCCGTCCTTCCTTCCACCCTTCCTTCCTTCCTTCCTTCCTTCATTCCTTCCGTTCTTCATTGCTTCCGTCCCTCCCTCCTTCCTTCCCTCCTTCCCTCCTTCTTTCCTTCCGTCCGTCCGTCCTCCCTTTCTTCATTCTTTCCTTGCTGCCTTCCGTCAGACCGTGGTTTCGTCCTTCCGACCTTCCTTCAGTCTGTCCGACCTTCCTTCATTCCTTTCTTACTTCCCTTCGTCTCTTCACGCCGTCCTTCCTTCGTTCCTTCCCCCCCTCCTTCCTTCCCTCCTTCCCTCCTTCCGTTCTTCTGTCCCTCCTTCCCTTCGTTATTCCGTCCTTCCGTCAGTCCTTCCGTCCTTCCTTCCTTCATTCTTCCTTCCTTCAGCCCTTCCTTCCCTCCTTGCCGCCATCCTGCCTTCTTTACTTCCCTCCTTCCTTCCTTCCTTCCATCCTTCCGTCCGTCACTCCTCCCTTCCATCCTTGCCGTCCTTCCTTCCTTTTTCCTGTCCCTCCCTATCTCCCTTCCTTCCTTGCTTCCGTCCTTCCTTCACCCCTTCTCTCCTTCCTTTCTTCCTTCCTTCCTGGCGCCATTCATTCCTTCCGTCCTTCCTTCCGTCCTTCCTTCCGACCGTCCTTGCCTTCCTTCCGTCCGTCCTTCCTTCCTTCCGTCCTTCCTTCCGTCCGTCCTTCCCTTCTGTCCTCCTCCTCCTCCTCCTCGTCCTCCTCCCTCCTCCTCCCTTCTCCTCCCTTCTCCTCCTCCTCCTCCTGCGCCCTCTAACCTCATCCCTCCCCCTTCCACCGCCGCCCTCTCCCCCGGTTCTCCCGCCGCCGCGGCAGCCTCGGCCTCGCAGGCGGCCGCGGCCGACGAGGCCGCGCCCGCCGCCGCCATGCGCGCCCGCCCGGGCCAAGGCCGGGGATGCCTGCGCACATGCCGCGGCGGGGGGCGCCTCCCCGCGCGCTGGCCGGCGGCAGCGGCGCGCGGGACCCGGGAGCCGGAACGAGGAGCGAGAGAGGGAGGGGCAGCAGGGACGAGGGAGGAGGAGGGCGAGGGAGGGAGGAGGGGGAGGGGCGAGGGGGGGGGGGGAGCAGGGGGGGGGGGGGGGAGGAGGAGAGGGATGACGATGCGGAGGGGGAGGAGGAAGGAGGAGGAGGGGACGAGGAGGAGGAGGAGGACGAGGAGGAGGAGGAGGAGGAGAGGAGGAGGAGGAGGAGAAGGGGGAGGGAAAGGGGGGAGGAGTCTGGGGATAGGGGAGGGGGAGTGGAAGGGGGGGGGAGGGGGGAGAAAAAGGATGAATATGATGATGATGATGATGATGATGATGATGATGATGATGATGATGATGATGATGATGATGATGATGATGATGCTGATGATGATGATGATGATGATGAGGAGGAGGAGGAGGAGGAGGAGGAGCAAGACGGGGGAGGAGTAAGGTAAGGCGTGGCGAATGATATGGAGGAGCGGGGAATGTGAGGGAGAAGAGAAGGAGGAGGAGACAGAGTAGGAAGGAGGAGTCGTTGAAGGAAGCAGACGTAATATGAACGAGAAGAGGAAGAGCCCTGGAGAGAAGATGGAGACAGGATCAGTGCGCTCGCGCCAAACCGGGCATCAGACGCATCCTATCCATACATTCCCACTGCTCTGAATTATTGTTCATCCGCGAGGTGTCCTACAGGACCTTTGTCGTCACAGTGAGCCTTCGTGTGATGCGCACTCAGAATAGGGGGGGGGGCATCGGAGGAGGAAGTGGAAGTAGCCGATGAGCAGGAGGGACAGCTAGGGAAAGAGCACGAGGAATAGCAGCCAGATCAAGAAAAAAGAGGAGGAACAGCATCAGCAGGAGCAGGAGGAATAGGAGGATCAGCGAAGGGGGGAGGAGGAGACAGGAGGATGGCGGACACCACGAGGGATGACTCGCATACAGAAGTGTGGTCCGCGCTGGGGTGGGAGCGCCACTGAAAGGCGCGAGCGCAGCATCGAGCCTGACATGTCGCTAGCCTACAGCGGGGGTGCCAAATTTGAAGAGTAGAAAATACTGCGATCGCACATTCACATATTAGGAGCTACAAATTCAACACCCTGTGTCACAACAATTCGTGAGAAGGGCGGCGGCACCACCGCACAGTATCAGGGGAGAGAGGGGGAGAGAGCGAGAGAGAGAGAGAGAGAGTGAGAGAGAGAGAGAGAGACAGATAGAGCAAGGGAGAGAGACAAGAGAGAGAGTAGTACGCAGGCGCACTGAGTACGTAGCTGTAGCTGAAGAGTGTGAAAAGGAGTGCGCTGAGAAGGAAGGGAGGAGGGGAACGGGGAGCAGGGTGCGCGGCGGGGATGTATGATTCAGGCCTCCGCCCCACCCCCCCCCCCCCCCTAATGCTATTGGAAACCGCCCCTCACTGGTCCCGCTGGGTGGGCATGCCTGTGAGCCTCGCGACGGACTCGAGAATAGGATTCGTCCCACCCCCTTGTGGTCGTTGCACTGTTGGCGTGGCGCGGTGGTAGGTGCCAGCGCCCCCCCGTCCCCTTGTGAGTGTGGAATGGTTCGACGTCGTCTTCCGTCGGCGTCGGCGTCGGCGTCGGCGTCGGCGTCGGCGTCGTCGTCGTGGTCGTCGTCGTCGTCGTCGTCGTCCCCCCCATCCCGGGGGGGGGGGGGGCTGTGGATCCCTGGGGCCCATCCCATCTGGGGGTGGGAAGCCTGTGAACCCTCGATGCAGGGTCACACATCCATATGGTATGGTATGTTATGGCGTAAGCCCTGAAAGCACTGCACTGCACTGTTCTGCACGCCGTGCGCCGCGTGGAGGGTCTGGGAAAGCAGGAGGAAAAAACGCACGCGCGCAGCCGTCCAGACCCATGTGCCGCCGAAAGTCTGGATACTTTCCGACACGACGTCGTCGTGCCGTCGTGGCGGGCGCGGACACATCCATGGCCTTCCGTTCAACAGGCCCAACGGGCCATGAGGTAATGACCTTGGCACCGCGGCAGGCGCGCCCGACCATGCCCAACACATCATTTGGGCGAAGGAGAGTTTCTGATCAAAACCCCATCACGGCCTGACAGGGCCCATTCCCTAGAAAGTACGTCTTAACACGACGACGACAACGACGAGCAATGAGCTACGCCTGCGACCGACGACGACCGACGGACGACGCACGTCCGTGAGAGACAAGAGACGCGCCCTGCAGGCTGGCCACTAGCGGGCGGCGTTACGGCCCGACCGCTAGCGGACAACGACGACGACGACGACGACGACGACGACGGACGGCGGATAACGGACGATGATAACGAAGGCGACGACGACGACGACGATGGCGGCGGCGGACGATCGACAGCGACGACAACGACCACAACGACGACCACGACGACGAAGACTACGATTAGGTCGGGCGTGTCCCCCTTCAGGCGGATTTTGGAGGACTAATAAAAATTAGTCAACAAATATTCAAACACTGTCAAACCAATAAGAACAAGTCGTCCCCAGACTATATTTGAAACTATGTTTGAATATTCCTCCTGTAGGGGAACAGGCCCGACTTAAGACTACGACGGCGACGACGACGACGACGGCGGACGACGACGACGACGGCGGACGACGACGACGACGACGACGACGAAGACGACGATGACGTCGACGACGACGAGGAGGACGACCACCACAACCGCCAAAACGGGTAGAGGCCTCCCAGATGGGGTCCGAGCAGATGAACTTCGGGAAATCACGCCTTATCGCCGATGTATCCGCGATGCATCGGCGACCTAGGCGCTGTATCAGCGACGCTGGCGCGGAGAACATCGGGCCCCACCACGAGCCGCACCACCGATGCATCGGCGATGCGGTGCGATGCTCCGACCTGGTCTTCTCGGGCCCCGCTCGGGAGCCCCGTGGGATGGCGGCGCCAGAGTCCGACGGCCGTGGTGGCGACCCAGACTGAAGGGGCCCTGTGACACACAAATAAATACACACTAATTATTAAAGGATTCCCCATATTTTCCTGTATTTTTTGAGTTTTCTGTTCCCCCCCACTTCCCATATTTTCCCATATTTTCCTGGGAGTGGACGATTAATTGTGTCTGTGTGTTTTTCCCCTCCTGACAGACATGCGACGTCCTGATTTTTTCAGGACGGCGTCCCCGGAAATCCCGACCCTTTCCCCGGGGCCGGTTTTTCATCCTGAATTCTTTTTCGACGGTCGCGAGGCCCGGCCAGGGCCTCGAGAGGCCCAAAACGACGAAAAGGCTGCGTCCTGAAATCTCCACGACGCGATCCTGCCTGGGGACCGATGGCGGCGGCGGCGGCCGACGATGGCGGCGGGGGCCTTCTGGCCGGCCTCCGGTGGTCAGAGCCCCAGGGCCGACGACGGCGGGACGCGCGGGCGCGCGGCGAGGTGCCCCGCGGGCTCACGGCGCCGCGCCGGCGGGCGGCTGAGGCGGCAGCCCGGCGGACACCCGCTCCGCCTGCGCTGGGGGCCCAGGCAGCCGCCGGCAGGATTTCTTCGGTCCGTGGCCCCAGAGGTCCCGACCCCTTCCCAGCAGGGTGGTTTCCCGGACCTTCCAGGAGGGCTTCAAAATAGCACCAGGACATCGGCGTCCTAATTCCTGTCGAGGTTTGAGGCAGTCCTGGTGGTAAGTCTGCGGGTCTGGATTGCTATTTTCTGGCGCTCTGGAAGGTCAGGGTCCCCGGGGTGTTTTTGTTGGTCCTCGCGAGCCATGTTTGGCATAGCCCCCGGGCGGACAACGGGCCCCCGCGATGCCGAAGTGCAGAAAGAGACGCCGCATGGAACATGCAGAACATCGGAGGCCCGGACCTCTGGGGGGGGAGGCCCGGGAGACTCCCGCGAAAACCACCTGCAGGGCGGATGAACACACCGCCCAATCACGGCCACCCAGATCCAAGCGTCTGATCTCGTGCATGCTGTCAGTATGCGGGCAGTACTTATATATACATATCCAGAGCGTCTTGGACTTTTTGGGAAGAGCTGCCGCAACGCCGAGGCGCACTGGATATGGCCAAAATCAAGCCTCCTGGGGCCAGATTTTGATCCACATCCAGTGCGCCTGCGGCTTCTGGGGAAGAGAGCCCAAGACTCTCAGACGCACTGGATGTGGATATAACTATTGCCCGCACAGGAAGTACACCCTGCGACATGCTTAAGAAATCATGGGTTAAGAAATTCATAGTCTCAGAAATTGAATAAAAAACCCACAATTTCTATCAAAATCTTGGGATTTACACTGAAACGTTAAGAATAATCGAGACTCTGGCCGAAAACTTAGGTTTTCTTAAGCATCGCCTAAGGTGTACGGTCAGGAACGCCTGCCGAGCGTGTCGCCCCGGCGGCCCCCCGGCGGCACGCCACATATGCCCCCACGGCTCGGACCGCGTGCCGCGTGCCGCTCCGCCCGGCGGGAGGCTCTCGCAGAGGCTCGGGACGCCTTGTGGCGCTCGGGGGCCCGAAGCGGATAATTATCAAGGGGCCCCAGGACACACAAAAAAATACACACAAATAAAAATATCCCCCATATTTCCATAGTTTCGGGGTTTTGTCTTCCCGCCCAATTCCCATATTTTCCCATATTTTCTAGGGAATCGAGGATGAATTGTGTCTGTGTGTTTTTTCCCCTCCTGAAATTATCGTGCCGCGCCCGGGCGTGGTGGGCCAGAACTGGCGGAGCGACGCGCGATCCAAGATTCCAATCGCTTTTTCTGTCGGCGCAATTCTGGAGGAGAAGGAGGACAGCTGGGGGGACGAACGCGAGGAAAGCCGAGGATCCGAGATTCCCATCGTACCCTGTGTGGGCGATATCGGAAACCCTGGACCCAAAAACGTTTCCATGCCCTGGGGGCACATCTTTTACTTCCGCTGCCTTCCACCGAACTTCCGCCGGCACCCGCCGGCGGAGGCGGCTTCGTTTCACTTCCGCCGACCTTCCGCCGCCCTTCCGCCGAAGAAGACACGACAGCTCCTTCGATCCTCGAAAGTAAGGCCTATGTAAGCTTTATTCGGCGCCTCGACACTGGGCGGATGAGGGGGGGAGGGGGGGGTCTGGCTCGGGACCTCTGCTTGGTGCGACTGTGGGGAGGAGGGCTTCACCTGCTCGAAACAGGCGCCGAAAACAGCCAAGATCTGGGATCCGCAAAACAATGAATGAGAAAACCATCCCTTTTTGGAACGCCCCATCTCCCCTTGTTTGCTCGTGTGGCCGTCTGTGGCTCCGAGGGTCTCTTGTCTGTATCGTCTCCTCCTCCCGAGCGCCATCCCCTGAGATCCGATGTTGCAGAAACAAATGAAGCGTCGCCAAGAATCGCGACTGGAGCTCTGGATCCCATCTTTCTGCGTCACTTTTCGAGCGCGATCGATCTGCGAAGGTCCCGGGGCCCGAACTTGCACGACAGCGCGCGCTGCGAAAACAAAAACTCGCGACGCCAGGAGCTCCGACCCTGACCTTCCAGAATGCCAAAGAATAGCAGTCCAGAAGCAGTCCAGACCTATAGACCCATCTGGACGGCCTCCAACCTCGACAGGAATTAGGACGTCGACGTCCTGGTGCTATTTTTTATGAAGGGGCCCTGGGACACAAAAATAAATACACACAAATAAAATGAATCCCACATCTTTTCCCAGGTCTTCTGGGCTTCCTGCCTTCCCCCCACTGCCCATGCTTTCCCAGATTTTCTGGGAAATCGACGATTGACTGTGTCTGTGTTTTTTCTCCTCCTGATTTTAGCCCTCCTGGAAGGTCAAAGGGGGGTTGAGCAGGGACCAACCGTCCCGGCATTTCTATAGTCCTACCACGAAATGTTCTTAGAGCCCAAACATGTTCCAAGAACAACATGTTCTCAGAACATCAGCCCGATGTGTCAAACCAAGACAGTCCCGGCCAGAACCTGTGCCAAGAACATCTCGCGCAGACCACAAAAAAAGGTTCTTGGGAACATTGTTTGGTGGGGCCATGGGCGAGCCGGGACGCCTCGCCACTGCTTTTGGGTGGGGGGCCCCGGCGGCAGCCCGCCTCGTGCCGGATCTTCATGTCGTCCCACAGCTGCCGCACTTTCTGGTTCGCGGCGGCCCTGCGGGCGCCCAGAGGGGGCGCGCGGAACCCCGCCGGACCTGCCAGGAGGGCAAAAAGGACCGTGCGGCTCTGCTATCGGGGGCCGATCGCCGATGCATCGGCGATGCATCGCCGACTCAAGCTCGATGCCCCCGACCCTGACCTTCCAGAGTGCTAAAAAAAATAACACTCCAGACCTATAGATCGATCCGGACTGCCTCAGGCCTCGGCAGGACTTAGGGCGTCGACGTCCTGTTGCTATTTTTTGGCCCTCCTGGAAGAGCAGGGCAGAAGCCCCCTCGCGCTGTGGAAAGAACAAAAAATCGCGCCGGGAGGTTCTGTCCGCGCGATTGCTTCGGCCTCCGGGGGCGCCCGTTTCCCCGGCCTCGGGGCCGTCAAACAATGCCTCGGGGTGAAGGGCCGGTCCCGGGAAAGGAGTCCAGACCTCTCGAGAGGCCGGCGCTGCAAAAAAAACACGACGTCGGGGGTCTGGGAGGGGGGGAGGGGGCGCAGGAGGAGCTGGAGGAGGCAGGAGGCGGAGGGAGGGAACGAGCACCTCTGTCCTCCTCGGGCCCCACACGCTCCCCCCCCTCCCCTCGGTGCTGCTGGCCTCCTCCTCCTCCCTCCTCCTCTTCTTCTTCTCCTCCTCCTCCTCCTCCTCCTCCTCCTTGGGCGCCTGCTTGGGCGCCCTCGCCTGGGCCCCCCTTCCGCCACCTCCTCCTCCTCCTCGCCCCCTCCTGCTCCCCCTCCCCAAATCCCTCCCCTCCCCAAATCCCCCCCGTCCGACCACCCCCCACCCGTCCTCCGCTCCTCCTCCCGTCCTCCCTCCCCCCCTCCTCCTCGCCGTTGTCCTCCTCACCCCTCCCCTCCCTCCCCGCCCCATCCCCTCCCCCCTCCCTCCCTCCCTTCCTCCCCTCCCTCCCTCCCTCCCTCCCTCCCTCCCTCGGCCCTCCCCCGTTCAGTACCATCCTCACGCTCGGCCCTGCTGCCGTCCTCTCCCCGCGCTCGCGACGCGGGGCGAGGGCGGAGGGCCCGCACGGCGCCGCCGCCCGAGCGTCTGGCGCGGGGCACCTCGGCCCCTGTGGCCGACGAGGAGTGGCGATGCTGCGGTGCCCTCCTCCTAAATCCTCGTCGTCCCGATGCTCCTCCTCCTCCTCGTCCTGATGCTCCTCCTCCTCCTGATCCTCGTCGTCCTGATCCTCGTCGTCCTGAGGCTCCTCGTCGACGAGAGTGGCGATGATGCGGTGTCCTCCTCCTGAGCCTCGTCGTCCTGATGCTCCTCCTCTGCACCTTCCTCCCTTTTCCTGGGCAAGCCGCGGGGCAGCACGAGCGCCCTGTTTCGTCCTCCTCCGCGTCGTCGTCGTCTCCCTCCTCCTCCTTCTCTGGGCCCGACGTGCGAAACCACCCCGGTGGGAGGAGCTCGAACCCTGTGGGCATGGTTGGGCCGTCTGCCTAAGAGCCCACAGACAGCGGTCAGCTGCCACAGTGCCGCACCCCCACGCCGACCCTCATGCCCATACGAAGGACACTTCTCCCAGGGGGCGGCTGGGGGGTCTGAGCCAGACCAGCCCAGAGAACATCGGCAACACTGCTCAAAATCGGTCTCAGACCCTTCCAAGGTCGAAACTAACAAATTGTTCGGGCCGCGTCCAGACATGGCGACGAGTGGCCGGAATGAGTGCTGTGCCACCTCAGCCCCGCAGTCGGCTACAAACAAACTTCTCCCAAGAGCAACTGCGTTGGTCATCGTCAGGATAGTGGCTCTCTACGAGAAGGGCGGCGACATCGGTAATACGACGCGGCTGTGCAGCGAGCGCTCTGCTCGGGGTACGAGCCGAGCAAGACGCGCAGGATCTCAACACAGAGGATACGAGACCGCCGTGAGTCGTTACAATCGAAGCAATGAGACATCAGCCGCCGTGTAGTTGCTGACCACGCGGGCCCTGGTGCTGCAGACTGCATCATCTAAGCTGTTATTGCATCGCGTGTCGTTTGTTTCTTAGCACTGGGAGCCGAACACAAACCGGGAATAGCTCTTCCTGGACGTAGGAACACCCTCCTCTTCCTCCTCCTCCGCCTCCTCCTCCTCCTCCTCTCCGAGAACGTGCGTCTTCGACGCTCCCACGCACCTCCTCTTTCTCTTCCTTCTCCTGTTCCTCCTCCCCCTCCTCCTCCTCCTCCTCCTCCTCATCCTCCTCCTCCTCATCATCATCATCATCATCATCATCATCATCACCACCCACACACCACCACCACACCACCACCACCACCCCCCACAACCCCCCCCACCACCACCACCACCACCACCACCACCACCACCACCATCATCATCATCATCATCATCATCATCATCATCAGCAGCATCATCACCATCATCATCATCATCACCACCACCACCACCACCACCATCATCATCATCATCATCATCATCATCATCAGCATCATCATCATCATCGTCATCATCAGCATCATCATCATCAACATCAACAGCATCATCATCAGCATCATCATCCTCATCATTATCATCATCACCACCACCATCATAATCAACAACATCATCATTATCAGCATCAGCAGCAGCATCATCATAATCATCACCATCATCCTCCTCCTCCTCCTCCTCCTCTTCCTCCTCCTCCTCCTCCTGCTCTTCCTCCTCCTCCTCCTGCTCCTCCTCCTCCTCCTCGTCCTCCTCCTCCTCCTTCGTCATCCTCTTTCCTCATCAGAGACAGACCCCGGAGGACTGGATCCATTCTCTGGGGTGTATGTGCGTGTGTGTGTGTGTTTGTGCATATTTCTCTTCCTATATTTTTGTAAGGCCCGGGCGGGGGGAAAACCCGTCACCCCCCCCCCCCCCGAACAAAAACCAGACTACCGGGATCTGGGGCTTTGGGACCCTCTGGACGGGCCTCGAAGCGGCCACCGGGCCGGGCCTCGCAGGGCGTTTCGCCAAGCCTTCCCAGCACAACTAGGGCGATCAGGGGGGTCATCGGAGACGTCCCAGAGACCCCCAAGACAGCACAAGAGCGCTCCAAGAGTGACCGACGTGACCTCAGGATGGCCCAAGAGGCCTCCAGGACGGTCCCAAAGAGGCCTCCAAGAGCACTCCCAAGAATGCCCCCCGAAGCAAAAATCATTGAGTTTCGGTTAGGTTTTGGTGAATTTTGGGGTTCTCCTCTTTTCGGCTTCCCGACGCTCCAAGACGACGGTCTTCTGGGCGTCCGAAGCCGCCTGGGAGGCTCCCAAATCGCCCCACAACCATCCGAAAGGGCTTCCAGGCAGTCCAAGAGAGCCCCAAAACGGCACAACACGGGTCCAAGATGGCCCTCAGAGAGCCCCATGGCGGCCCAACATGGCCCAAAGACACCCTCCGAAGAATTCCAAATCGTCATTCGGTCGTTCAGGCAGACCGCGATTGGAGGCAGGGTGGCCCGAGAAGCCTCCGGAGGCCCCGAGAATACGCCCAGGAGTCCTCCAGAAGGCCTTAAGAAAGCTCGAAACAACTTTTGTGAGGCCCCTAGAGGCTCTCCAAGGAGGAGCCTCCACAAAAAAGAGCTGAGGAGGATGAGGAGAATGCGCAGGGTATGGCGAACATCAGGAAAAAGAAACATGGAAGAAGGATCACGAAAAACATTATTATAGCGGCGATGCCGGAACAGGCAACCAGGAGTTATCGCTAAGTTGTCGGCTTGACCTTCCTGCTATGCCGCCTGCATACCAAACTTCAAGGACCAAGGCGCATGGCGCGAAGCGCCACTGCAGTCTTGTGTGTGTATAGATATATATATATATGTATGTATGCATGCATGCATGCATGCATGTATGTATGTATGCATGCATGCATGCATGCATGCATGGATGGATGGATGGATGGATGGATGGATGGATGGATGTATGTATGGATGGATGGATGGATTGATGGATGGATGTATGTATGTAGGTATGTATATACATATATTTATATATATGTGTGTGTGTCTTGACGGTCCCAAGGTCCGATGAGGGCCCGCAGAGGCCGAACAGAGTGAAACACCTCACCTCTTGACGTCCTCACGACGCGAAAGCGCCAGGGCGACTGCGCGTGCTGCTGCTGCTCCTGCTGCCGCTCCGGCTGCTCCCGCTACCAGGAGCGGTGGGGCGCGGGGGGGTGGGCCTCAGCTCCTTGCCGCCTTTCTTCGGCAGCCCGTGCCTCTCCTTCTTCAGCCTGGCGACCTCAGCCTCGAGGGAGAGGGTTGCGGGCAGGCTCGAGCTCGGGGAGAACGGAGGAAGAGTTTCCGCAGCCCCTCCCGTCATGACAAAATCCCGACGGAACGTGTTCCAAATTTTTGAAGCCCCTGGGGGCCGCCCCGGGACTCGGGATTGGAAGCCGGTCCCCGCGAAGGGGTCCAGACCCCCAGGGGTCCACGCGATGAAAAATCGCTGTGTCGGTGGCGCCTGCGACCGGGGTCCGCCCCGACCCTTTCTGCGAGGCGGGCCCACCCGTTGCGACGAGAAGCCTCAAGCAGGCCCAGAGAAGAGGACGAGAAGCGACGGGGAGGGGCGCCATCGCCTCCAGATCGTGATTTCTGGAGGACGTGAATCCCCAAAGGTCCGAACCGGCTTCTCGGTCATCTGAGCCGCTCTCTGACGGCCCCGAGGCCCTACGAGGGCCCCCGAGGCCGAAAGTATAGAAACCGCGTGTCGGGTGCTCTTCGCGACTCGAGGGGGCGCGTTGCATTGCATTGCATTGCATTGCATTGCATTGCGTTGCATTGCGTTGCATTGCATTGCATTGCATTGCATTGCGTTGCGTTGCATTGCATTGCGTTGCGTTGCGTTGCGTTGCGTTGCGTTGCGTTGCATTGCATT